TTTTCTCTTTTCCCTTTTTTGAAGTAGACCCCCAAAAAAGGTGTATCTAAGGCTGGTGAATGGCAATGTTGAATGAATCTGATACTTAAAAAGTCATGGCGTCTTAACACTGACTAGAATCTTAGAGATAAAGTCTAGGGTTACAAATGTGTACAGAAAGCTATTTGTCAGTAGGTGTCATCTGTATAGAGAAACCTGAGATCACAATATGAGCTCAGTGACAAAGAATACTGTGGTTAATTTGTGATGTTGTGCCATGCTTTGGCTATCCTCATGTACTCCATTGGACTCACTGAATCAGATTTTCACATTTAACTGTAGCATCTGAGATGTTACATAATTTGCTCTGCTAAAAGTGGCAAATCGGGATTCGGATCTTAATTTCAGGGCCACAGTTTTTTGCTTATTAATTAGCTCATCTACTCACTTGTCTGAAAGCTCACTACTCACTCATTCAACAAATCCTTGAGAGCTTCAGGGTACCTGTGCCTTTTATAGTTCTGGGAATTAAATATATGAAGCATACAGTCCTGCCCTTCCAGAACATAGTAGTTACAGAGCTAGTAAATAATACTTGATGAGTAATAAATCACAAAGTTTATTTAGCCTTTCATTTCTTCCTTTCATATCCTGAAGAATTTTTCTAAAGATGTTGCAGTGCAAGGATTGCCTTTGGCTAAAACAGAAGAGAGCAACAGACAAAAAGGTAAAAGGATAAATTTGACATTTTTATTGTGGTGAAATATACATAATGTAAAATTTATCATTTTTAAGTGTATAGTTCTGTGGCATTAAGTACATTCACGTTGTTGTGCAGCCATCACCACCATCCTTCTCCAGAACTTTTTATTTTCCTCAGCTGAACCTCTGGACTACTCCTTAACAATAACTCTCACTTCTCTCCTCCCTCTAACACCTGGCAACTACCATTCTACTTTCTGTCTCTGTGAATTTCACTATACCTCATATAAATGGAATTATACAATATTTGACCTTTTGTGATTGACTGATTTCAGTTAGCATGTCTTAATGGTTCATCCGTGTTGTGACATGTCAAAATTGCCTTCAAAAGGATGGAATTTTAGATTTTTAGATATTCATTGATTTTTTTAGACATTCATTAAACAGGCTTATCGTTTTTTTCTTATTATTTTTATTTTTAATTTAGTTTTTCCTTCGAAGTTCAGCTATTAATAGAATCTCTAAAATCCAGAAAAAAGTTAGCTGTGGTAAAAGTAATTTTATTACTACCAACTATTGCACAGGTTTAGTACTAGAAACCTATTTATAAATTCTGAATTCAAGTTTTGGATAGTCTTTGGTAAGATAATAGATTAAAAATGTACTTTGAAAATTATGTTTAATGACATTTTTTTAAGCAGTTGGTTTTATCTTATTCTTAATGGTTTTCTCTAGAGTCTGAGCAAATGTTTCCAATTTGGCCTCAAGTTTTTTTGACACACTTTTTTCCCCTAGGGTCTCAGATTATGACTGTTATTTTAGTCACTTAACTTGTTCCTTGTCTTTTTTCTTCTTTTTTTCCCCTTGTTTTTTTTTTAAATTGAGAAATCTTATTGCTGAATTCTTAAATATTCTTTTAGGTAAAAGGGTTTTTTTTAGTAGCTTATTAAAATTTAATAATTTTTTAGGAATCTGAAGTGTATTTTTGTATCTTGATTTTGCAGCAAATGACATCTTTATTTCTCAGTACACCGTGGGACAGAAAGATGCTCTAAGAGCAGTTTTAAAGCAAAAGTAAGTTTCACTTTCAGGAAATAGGTGGGTCATTTCATGTGTTTCTGTGTGGTTCTCTAAAATTCAATTCATTTATGCTTCGGACATAGGAAAAATTTTTTTTCAATGTGTGAAATATGTACTTTATGGTAATCTTATGTGTAAAGCATTTTTCATGGTGCTGAGCACATATAAATACTCAATAACTGTTAATGGTTATTGTAGAAGAGGTACTGTTCTACATCCTTTATGTGCTTGACTCATTTAATACTAACAAAATGCAATGAAATAGATTCCATTACCATCTCAGTTTTACAGAATTCCCATTTTATAGATGAGGAAACAGGCACAGAGAGATTGATTTTCCCTATGTCATTTAGCAAGTCACTAGGCTGGAATTCAAACACAGGCTGTCTGCCTTCAGAGCTTGTGCTCTTGATCCTGTCACTGTACTACTTGTGGCAGTGGTTAAGTAGTTCCAAATACATAATAACTGTTCTTTACCGTCAAAAGGTATTTAGACTTTTCCTGGTCAAGATTTGAGAAAGAGACAAGCTCAGTATCTGGATGGAGTGAAGGGAGACCATGGCTACTACTCTACCCTAATGTTCCCTCCCAACTTTATCTTAAATAGCAATGAAATGCAAAACCATCCTTGACAACAGCACCATGATAAACATGAAAGAGTATATTCACTATTCTGGAGGCAATTTTTATTTATTTATTTTATCATTAATGGGGACAGAATGAGATATGTATTCTTAGGCTAAATGTATTCTATTCCTGAACCAGAGCATAATCGAAGACCCTTTAGAAAATAGGAAAAGTTTTTACTTTTTTTTTTTTTTAGGTGAAGCAATCTGTGGTTGACCTCACAGATTGCAAGGAGCTTGTCAGCTTACAATCCCTTATTTTTTTTTATTTTTTACGCCTACAGCACCTAGTCTTCCTAGGTGGTCTTCAATCCAAATATTAACCAGGCCCAACCCAGCTTAGCTTCCGAGATCAGACGGGATCGGGCTTGTTCAGGGAAACATGGCCGTAGTACTTAACTTTTGAACTCTCATTTTATTCAAAAAGGAAATTTTATATTACTTCTGTAAATTGAAAATCAGTATTTCTTATGATATAATTAAAACAAATACACAACTATTAAAAAGTTTATTCTTTTCCCACCTAGTTATCCATAGTATATATGATCTGCTTTAGAAAATGCTGGACTAACAAAAATAAATACTATCTCTAAACCCAAAAGTGTGATCTAAGCCAGCCAGAGTTTCACAACTGGTTATTTGGCCTCATAATGTTTTTCCTTCTTGCATTTGTCTAGCCTACAATTAACAATATGTGATATGTTGGTTAGGAGAGGAATTTGGATGGTGTATTATATCCTGGGAGTTGTAAATATAGAAGAAAAAGCAAAAGTAAGGGCATGAGGGATGGTGCAGTCTCTTAAATTCTGTGCTTGAACTAAAAATTGCAGATTATATCTGACTCAGTTGGACAGAAATTGATTACCACTTTTATCCAGCTGTCCTCCCATAGAAGTGGCTGCTTGCACCCACTTTGTCAACTTGCCTTCAAGTCAGAACTCTCCGAATTGAAATCTCTCAGACCTCTCAGAACTCACAGATCTGAGAGGGTGAAGTTGTTCGTAAACAAGTGGACAGTGAGAGGTAACTGAACACTTCCCTTCTTATCTGTTGACAGTAGATCTCTCCCCATTTCAGGATGAAAGAACAGAATTAAAAAGAAAAAAAAAACTAGGAAGGGCCTCTGAGAAGGTAATTGGAACATAGGGAATAATAATTGAATCAGAAGTATAAAAATGACTCTCATGTTGAGTTAAAAGACAATCTAATTATGTCTCAAGAAATGAATTTCTCTGTAGTCCATGTCACTTGATTTTTTTTTTTTAAATGGCAGATGCAATTTGGCAAAGTCGATTCTAAAATTTACCTGGAAGGACATACCGTTGAGAATCTCTCTCTCTCTCTCTTTCTCTCTCTCTCTCTATATACCATTAAGAATACATACATATAGAATACACACAGTTGAGAATAGCTAATTTTGGAAAAACAAAAATGGAGTGATGATGAATTTGCCCTATTTGACATTATAATATGCTCTAAAGTTATAATAATAAAAGGTATAATAGATTGGAGCCTTTTAGGAATGAAGAGTCTGGAGAATGTCCTAACATGTGACTGGACAGGTCAGCAAGGGGCCAGATTATGAACTCCTTTAAAGAAGTTAAGACTTTAAGAAAAATGGCAAGTTATTTAAAAGTTTTAAAGCATGATACATATTTCTTAAAAGGCTCAGTCAGTTAGCAATATTGAAGAATGGATTGGAAGAGCGCTGGACTAGAGTATAGGAAACCAATTGGCTATGTATTTTTCAGAGATCTCTTTGAGAGATGGGTTAGATTTGTCCTGAACACATTGAGGAGTGGGGGAATAAGGTGGGATTCACGCTGGTTTAGAGAGGAGAAGACAGAGATGGAAGATAATTTGGAGATAGAATTGACAGGAATTGATTTTTGGCTTGTATAAATGCATGGTCAGTAGTAGTATTCATAGAGAAAGGGCATTCTTCAGAAAGAATCCTTGAAGGAATAAAGAGGATTCAGAGGACTTAGGACTAAAGGAAAAAGTTCTAAGAAAAGACTAGTAGGAAATAATTAATTCTGAAAGTGAGAGTTATGAGCATTTTCCCGTTCTTTACACTTAGAAGCTTTTTTACATTTGCTACATTGAGGATTTATTAATTTGATAGTTGGAAAAAATAAAATTTAAAAGCCTATAAAGAAGTTGATATCTAGCCCTATAATTTTATTTCTCTTATTTGTCAATTAGCCTGTTAATGTAGAATCATGAAAGATAACTCATTCGACTTCAGAAATTTTATTTCTCTTATTTGTCAATTAGCCTGTTAATGTAGAGATCATGAAAGATAACTCATTCGACTTCAGAAAGGAATACTGAAAGATAGGGAATATCTGAATTATATTTTCTTTGTACACCACTCAGTCAGTTAAATATACATATATTGAGCAACTGTTATGTGCTTAGCTCTTTGATAGTTGCTGTTTGGTATAAAAGAAGTTCCCCACCCCTGTCCCCAGCCCAGGTTGTTTAGAGCTTAATCGGGGAGCTAATATGTACATATATGGAGAAAAGAGATTAGAAGTCATAGGAAACAGCATTGCATTCAGGATATTATTCAACTGTTCTGTACAGACATTTAAACCATAGCATGGCTAATTGTCAAGCCTCAATTGTGTGGTATAGGCAGTAAATGAAGAGATGAAGAGAAAGTGTTAGAAGGACAAGCTTATCGAAAAGGATAAGGCTGATGTTGGATCTTAAAGGAGAAGGATATAGTAAGTAGGTAGAAGAAGGTTGAGAGAACAGAGTAAGAAAAAGCATGGAGTCAGCTATGGGAGTGATGTGGCGTAACCAGTGAGGAGTGTGACTCTGAGAGTTTTGTGAAGTAATAGAAGGTATATATAGAAAACTAGGGCATGGCTAGAGGATGGAGTGCGTAGAAGGCCAAACAGAAGAAATTAGCCTGTTCAGTTGTCTGTAAGCAACAATTTAGATTTTTGAATGGTGGAGGAAAATGTGTGGGAAGTTTTTAAGCAAGTGAAAACTGGGTGAATGAAAATAGTTGGCAAGAGGTGATGAAGTATTTTACTGGACAGGGAGAAGTGAAAAGGGAGAAGGGCTATTCTGAGAGAGAAAGCCAGGTGTCATGGGAAGGTCTCTCGGAGTTGGACCCTCACTGCTGCTTACTAGTTCTGTGACTTTAATTAAGTAAATCTCATTATGTCTGTGGACTTTAGTTTCTTCATCTATAAATTAGGAGATTAGGATAGTTAGCCTATTGGTTCCCCCTGCTTCTATAATTCTATGTCACTGTTCCTGCAATTGTGATGAAATAATTGACAAAACTTGATGACTCAGTTGAATATGAGAAGATAAGCAGAGGATAGAGAAGTCAAGATAACTTCAAAAGTTTGAGACTATTATGCTCTTAGTAGAAATGAAGAAATGCCAAAGAGGAGTAAGTTTAAGAGCTGCTCTGTGCCTTCTCTAAAAACCAAGGAGGGGCCCAGCATCTAAGGATGGAGCATGTTCCAGCCAATTTTGCTTAGACACTTTCACTAGGGACTCTTCAGTTTTGTCAGTGATTTGTTTGTTGTCTTCTTTAGGCCAAATATAAAGCAAGATCTACCAGTTTTTGATTTTTAGTATTTAAAAGCTTTATTGCAAATATATATCTATCTGCTGTCCTCATTTTTAATTCAGGCTATTTAATAGTGTGTTTTGTGACCATTTTAATGAACTGTGTGATATTGTTAATTAAATCTAAATGTGCTACAATTTAAGCATTTTTCTCAGCAGTTTAACAGTCCCTCTTGTGTTATCTGCCTTTGGGAGTAAAACTTGGTACTTGAATTCTTAGAGCCTTTTCTGAACGTTTTAAATTTCATACTTCTTGATTTTATATCTATCTATCTATCTATCTATCTATCTATCTATCTATCTATCTATCTATCTCTATCTATCTATCTATCTATCTATCGATAGATAGATATATAAAGATATATATATATCTTTATAATTATGCCCACGTCTTTTTTTCTGCAATATCACTGCCTTCAAGGAATTATCTTCTTATTTCTTTAGTGTTTAGTGACCTGAGCCTTCATAGAGTTCATTAATCAAATGACTGATAAGATGCTGATGAGGAAAACCAGGTGATACACTTTTGTTTTTTAAATCAAGAAAACCCACCTTCAGCAGATTACCACTGTAGATGCTTCTTGAAACAGTTCAATTTAGCTTACTGAATATATTTTTATTCCCTTTTTATTTACAGAGCTCAGAGCATGCCTGTTTTTAAAGAAGTTAAGGTACAGCTTTTAGAGGATGCTGGTACAGAAAAGGAGGCTGTTACCCAGGAGACTAGAACTTCACCCAGTGGAATTGATTCAGCTACAACTGTGGCTGCAGCAACTGCCGCCGCCATTGCAACAGCAGCTCCACTAATAAAAGTATACTTTTCTCTCTAGATACGCATTCATAACTACATTGTAAAGTGTGAAAACATTTATTAGGAACTGAGTCTGTAAATGGTCATGTCCAACTATAGACTAGGGACTTTCTAGTTGCTTTCAATTTGAAAGAACTTTCCTGTTTGGGTTGTATATAACCTCCAAGGGGTTATAATACTTACCCCCTCATTGCTGTGATAATGCTAGAGGACCCAGGACTTTCCCAGTTTTAGCACTGAAAATAGCTCATCTTAGGAATTCCTCAGTCCTGGGCAAATGGGACAATTGGTCATTCTTATTTTAGAGCTAGAAGGGACCTTAGAAATCGTCTATGCCAACCCCCTCAGTTTGTAAATGGGTCCCAGAGCTACTAGGTGGCAGAGCCAAGACTAGACTCCAGGTGCTGACCTAATTCAGCCTGAGATTAAGTGAAGTATCAAAAGCTACTTTGTTTTGCTGTTTACTTCTTTTTAATTTAAGTATTTTATTTCTGGCATTATAAAAAATTTTATGTGGCAAATTTGGCATTTTTTCTATGAGTGAAAAGATCTGCTTAAGGATAGCTGTATTGTACCTTTTATTTCTGCGATTCTAAAAATAAAGACATAAAATCATCAGATTTAGAGTGTAAAAATCTTGTTTGATCATTTCTCAGTACCAGTTGCTTTAAATCACCTTTTTAGTAATTGAGCATATTTTGATACCTTGATATTTTTTTAGGTGCAGAGTGATTTGGAAGCAAAAGTCAATTCTGTTACAGAATTACTGAATAAGTTACAGGAGACTGATAAACAATTACAACGTGTTACAGAGCAGCAAACAAGCATTCAGAATAAACATGAGAAATTACATTGTCATGATCATGAAAAGCAAATGAATGTGTTTATGGAGCAGCACATTAGACATCTTGAAAAATTGCAACAACAACAAATAGATATTCAGGTATCTATAACAAAGCCAGCACATATAGTCATTTATCACTTGGATCTTTAAGCTAATATTCATTGATTATTGCAAGTAGCTCATTAGATTATAATAGTTTTAGTTCTTAAATAATGATTTGCTTGTTTATCATTCTTCTATATGGAAAACTGCACATTCTAGTTCAAATGTCACTAGTTCTGCAAGACTTCTCCTTATAGTTGGCATATTTTTTTGTGGTATTTCTAGTCATATCATTTTAAAGTGCTTATAGCACACACATTGCAATTATTTGTTTACGTCAGTGTTTCTTAGCCTGGGAATGTGCATCAGAATCATTTGGAGAACTTTGTAAAAATATACGTACTGTACCTCAGAAATCCTAAGACAGCAAGTCTGAGATGGGATCTGGGAAACAAAAGCTCTCTAATCATTCTGACGCACACTGTGGAGGAGAACCATCCAGTATACATATTGCTTCTGCGATTAATTAATTAAAAGAATGAACATTTAGTGTCTTTCGAATAAAAGGCACTGAGCTAACATTAAAAAAAAAAAAAAAGAGTTGTTCTCACAAGAAGCTGATAGTACAGTTTCTTATTTATTGTGGAATTTCCAGGTCCTGGGGTGGTACTCAGTATGCTTTTTTGAATGAGTAAATGACCAGCATTATATGTGCATTAATTGCTTTTAATTTTCTTTTTTTCTAATTAATATGCAACATTAAAACTTTAAAAAATTAAATTTAAATATAACATTCAGAGGAATATACAAAAATAAATTATAGCTCAATATATTATCACAAAGTGAATACTAATACTATAATTTTCAAGACTTCTTAATAGAGTTTGTCTTGAGCTTTCATGTGGCTGAAGATAGTATTTTTATTGTCATGATTATGGGCGTACAAAGTAAAGTTTTGGTAAGAACTCCATGCACAACTAAAATTGAGTATGTAGTGTGTTATCCAGGGAGAGACTAGAAACAAATCTATCCGAGTTCGTTCCCAGCCTACAAATAACTGTACTCTAAGCCTTGGTTTCTTTACTTAGAAAATATTATATATTGTTTTGTTCAGGAGAAAATGAGATGACATATATGAAAAGGACATTGATTTCTTAAAGAAAAGGTCCTATTTGTCCTACATGTCTGCCATTCATCCATCCTTCCATTAATAAAGGCATACGTTACTTTCTGATTTTAGAAGAATGGAATCTTTGCTAATTCATAAAAAAAGTCTTATTTATAAACCTTATAATTACAGAGAAAGTTAATGTTTCAGTGACATACTAGGTATATTAGTAGTTCAATAAATGCATAATGAAATGAAATTTCTTGAGTTTCCCATCTATTTTATGGCGAGAGATCTCTACATATTTGTAATAATTCTGTAAAACTATGCATATATTTAGATTTTTCTTACCTTGGCGTAAGAGTCTCTTGAAATCAGTTTTATTAGGTGAGATACTATATAATCCAGATATTTTAATAAATGATGATGAAAACTGTTATTATAGTTTCCACTTATATATAAATGCACATGTTATTGCTGCTACTAAGTATGGCTATTATTTGAGTGCTTACTAGCAATGGTTTTTAACTCCTTACTTCAAACCAAATCATCCAAGATATAAAAGATGAGATGTTTTGGTTTTAAATTATCTGGTTGAAGTAGAGGTCAAAGGCTAGGGCCCCTTTCTTCTGGTCATGTAGTCTGTTTCAGTGGCCCCTGACCCATCTCTGAATTAGAAAGGAAGAGACCGAGGTTTAGAATAGTTAAATAAAATGATCAAGGTAACACAACATAGCCAAGCTTAATCCCCGGTCTTTGTATTACTATACCCTGCTAGTGCTGTCGCTGCTACAATGGATAGTTGCATGTAATGTATGTACTTTCATTGTTTATTAAATCTAATAAATTGTTTTTAAGTCCTCTAATAAAATGCAATGCATTTTTTCATCTAACTCTTAAATGATATTTGAAATTAATGAAATAATTTTATGTCTTCTAGACTCATTTCATGAGTGCTGCACTCAAGACTAGTAGTTTTCAGCCTGTTACTATGCCTCCTTCCAGAGCAGTGGAAAAGTGTTGTGTAAAACCAGACTATTCTCATCTTGGTAGTGTTAATCTATCTTCACATAACACATTCAGTTCCAAACAAGGTAAAAATACATAGTTCTCTGAGTTAAAAATGTCAGCTATGAATTTTCTTTGTGGTATGTTACTAGGTTGTCGAAGATTAAGTCTTTGCTTCATAAAATTAGTTCTTTTTTTTAGGTCAAGTAATTTCAGGTTATTTTGAAACTTATTCAGTCAAGTTATGGATCATGCCCTACTTTGTGGTTTTAATTAATAATGTTCATAAATTGTCAGAAGCACTTGTAAATTTAGAAAAGTTTACTTATCTAGTATCAAAAATGCTTGTAATCAATTCTCTATTTCTCTGACAAACTGAATATTTACTGTTTTTCTTGATTCTATTAGGAGAGAAACCACTTGAAAACAGTTATAAACTATTTCTAAATATTTTTAGAGAGTTAGTAATACAAGACTGTCTATCTTAATAGAATTTTAAAAATCTTTGTTTATAATCAAAAAGGAATACATAGCTTATTTGTATTAAACCTTTGGATTTTAAAGTGAATAAATGTGTTTCCAAATTATTTTTTGAATAACGAATTAATGAAAATCAAAGGCTATCTCTTTAATTATATATAGATCCATGTAGTACAATATCTCCAACATTTGATTTGTTAGAACATTGTTGTATTATAGACATTTTAAAGGTTCCTTGTACTTGTAAGGTGCTTTATGTTTTACAGCAAATGAGTGGTCCTTACAAAACTGTTGCGAAGTAAAATGAGTCAATTTTTAAGTTGTGAAGGGAGGAAGATGAAGCACAGAAAGGTTATGACTTACCTGGTCAGTGTCACCTGGCTTGAGAGTTAGAGTGTCAAGCTACTGCCAGAACTCAGGTTTCAATATGACCCAGCCATGTGCTTTCTGTAGAAGTGGGCACTTATTTCATACTCAATTCCGGAGAATTACTTGCTCATAATTTTGTTTTTTTTAAACTTGAATTTTAAAGGAGAGAGGTGTATGTTTTATTGGTTCTATACTGAATTGGTTTCTTTGTGTATTTTAGTGATAGTAACAGATATAAAAGAAAAAAATGAGTAAATTAAAAATTCAACAAATTAAACTTTATATTTTTTTATGCTTTTTCTTGGGCATACATCATTTTATTGTACTTGTAGTTGTAGAATAAATATAATTTGTACTACTTTTAAACTAGCATACCCAAAGTATTTCCTGTGTTTTACATAATTATCTTTATAATATTAATTTTTAGTGACTAAAGGATAGTCTGTTGAGTGTTTAGGACTTTCTATACTTAGTGTCAGATGGTCTTATCAGTTTTTATTGCCATATGCAGTGTATGGCTGTGCCATTTTCATCACAGCTTAAATAGCACTGTGTATATCATATTGATTTTTTTCTTATTAGTTATAAGTGTAAAATACTTCTAGTTTGTATTTTGATTTCTAGTGAGGAGGAAGTTATTTCTGTATATATGTATATACAGTATAATTTCAGATTTATTTTTAAAATATGGGGAAAGTACTCTACAATTTAAAGTTTTTTTGTAAAATAAGTTAAATATTTTTCTTCATTTTCTTTAAAAGAACCTTCAAGAGTGGTTGAAGATATGGGTTTTGATAAACAGAAATCTCCTTTGGAGACACCAGCACCTCGCAGGTTTGCTCCTGTACCTGTTTCAAAGGATGATAAAATATCAAAGAGGGAAAATCCTGTGGAAGAAAAAGAAAATGTGGAGATGTCAGGTCATACAGGTAATAAAGCAATTATTATTAGCACCCACTATTATTATACCTGTATCAAATTAGGAACAGGTTTCCTCACTCATGACTTATAATTTTCTAATGTGCTTCGTAGTAACTAATATGAGATCTCTGTTTTTAATATTTTTCTTTAAATGATGATTACTGGGCAAATCAAGCTTCTTTAGATTCTTTATAGAAGGAATTGGAAATAAACACTTATGACTATATTCTGACTGTCTTCTACAGGTTATTACTTAAACCTTTAATGAACAAACTTTGTTTTTAATGAATAAAAACAAAATACTGATCATTTAGGGCCTGTTTCCTTATTGTTTATAGATATGAATTTCAGTAATAAAGCTCAGAAATTTAACATTTACTACTGTGTTCAGTTGGAAAAATTGCTCATATATTAACTTTTATAAGTGTCCTGAAATAATTAAGCCCTTAAATAGAGTCTTTCTAATAAAATGCAATTCTTCTAATAAAAGAGAAAATGTTAAGTATAAGTTTTTATTCTTGGTAATATTTAAATGTATTCACGGCTTGTCTTGGACACACTTAAGGAGTTTTAAGGAATTCAGAAAAAATAATAAAACCTTAAAAAAACCAACTTCAGAAAAGAAAAAGTTGAAGTCTCATTAAAGATGAGGCTAAAGGGAAGATTCAACTAATTATTACTGTGAAGAAAATAGTTTTCATTCGAATTTCCTTTTTCTGTGTTGGAAATAAAGTCAGGCCTAAACTTTTACTGGTATAGTTTTCATGAGTTATAAATATTTAGGTTTGTTTGATAAGTGTATTTATAGATTACATTGTAGAGTGAATTGAGTAGATAGATCATCATCGTAAGAAGCTAATTTAGTACCAGTATATGTGAAATGTTATACAAAAGAAAAATTAATTAGTACCTGAAAATGATACTATATTTCTTTTATTTTAGAGAATGTAAGACTATTGGAACAAATTTTGAATAGACAAGACTCTTCAACAAGAATGAGTGAATTATCAGATAAAACTTCACTAACTAGGTCAAAAATAGGATGGAATTCTGAGAGAAGAGACAGGTAAAAACAAGAGATTTGAATAAACAATAGATTGAAAGAGCTTTGTTCATATTTCTAAAATTTCTTTAGGAATTTTAATAAGCATACAACATTGCTTTTTAAAATTATCTTAGATTTAGTTACTACTTTCTTCTAACATCTTTCTCCTTTTCTATAATATAATTATAAAATTAATATATAATTTTCTTAAAATGCAGATTATTAATTTCTAATGAATGCATATTACTCATTTCTGATTAAACGGCATCTGGGATTTGCTTCAAAAATAATCCAGTGCAGGGTAGGGGAAACTGGGTTGGAAATATAAATGAAATGAGGACAGCTGTCAGTTAATGATTACTGTAGTTAAATAGGGTATATGGAAGTCATTATAATATTCTTTCTCCTTTCATGTATGTTTGAAACTTTACATAATAAAAAAAAATTTTTTAAATCAAGTAAATCTAAGCCACGATAATTTTATTTATCTTGAATGTCATGAAAACTACGGTAACGAAAACGAAATGAGGCACATTTTGAGTAACTTCATGTGAAGATGTACATTTTATCTGTTTACATTTAATGTAACTATCGGTGAAGTAATATTTATGTCTTCCATGTCTGTTTTTTATATTCTTTAGATTTTTTTATTCCACTTTTTCTCCATAATGCCTTCTTTTGTATTAGATAGGTATTTTCTAGTATAACATTTTAATTCCCTTGTTTCTTTTACTATATTGTTTGAGTTCTTAGTCATTGCCCTAGGGATTACAATTAAATTTTAATTTAAAACAATCTAATTAAGATTAATTTCAACAGGATTCAAAAACTTTTCTCCAATATATCTTTATTCCCTCCCCTTTTCTTCTGCTATTATTGTACAAATTACATCTTTATACATTATAAGCCCATCTATACAGCTTGATAATAATTGCATTATGCAGTTGTCTTTTAAATCAGACGGGAGAAGAAAAGCTATATAGACAAAAATACATTTTATATTGTCTTTTATAGTTACCTATATAGTTAACCTTTACCCAATACTCTTTGTTTCTATTTTTCTTTTTGTTTTTTGTTTTTCCCCCCTCTTTAATTCCGCCCTCTGATCTATGGATGTTGTCGTTTCCCCTTAAGAATGGGATCTCTGAAGGCAGAGTATCTTCTCCCACAGGCTTGCAGTATTCCCTTTAAGATTTGCTAGTCATAAATTCTCTGAATTGCTTATCTGGGAATGTCTTAATTTCTTCTTTACTTTTGAAGGATATTTTTGCTGGATATGGAATCTTTGGTTGACATTCTTTTATCCTTCCTCTCATTGCTTTCTGGACTCCCTGGTTTCTGATGAGAAGTAAACTGTTAATCTTATTGAGGAATCTCAGTATATGATGAGTCATTTTTCTCTTGCTGCTTTCAAGATTTTCCCTTTGTCTTAAGCTTTTGACAGTTTGACTATGATGTGTCTAAGTATGGATCTCTGAGTTTATTCTACTTAGAATTTGTTGAGCTTCTTGGATGAGTGGATTAATATTAACTGAATTTGGGAAATTTTTGGCCATTATTTTATTTCCTTGTATAGTTAAGTAGTGCACATGACCTTTCTTTTCTCTCCTAGAACTATGTTGTATTTTGGTATGCTTGATGGTGTCCCACAGGTCTCTGAGACTCTTAATTTTTTCACTCTTTTTTTCTCCCTCTTCTTCAGACTAAATCTCAATTAACCTATACTTAAATTCACTAGTTTTTTCTTCTGCCAACTCAAATATTCTGGTTAGTCCCTTTAGTGAATTTTATATTTCAGTTATTGTATTTTTGAACTTCAGAATTTGCTTTTGGTCCCTTTTTTCAAAATAGTTTCTATCTTTATTATTATTCTCTATAAGACTTCTTTCTAATACTTTCTTTAATTTTCAAACATAACTTCCTTTAGTAATAGCTAATTTATAGTGTTTGTCTAATAAGTCCAATATTAGGGGTTCCTCAAGGACAATTCCTATTGACTATCCTTTTTCCTTTGTCTGAGTTATACTTTCCTGTTTCTTTGTGTGTCTCATAACTTTTTGTTGAATTGGACATTTTAAATAATATAACGTGGTAACTCTGGAAATCAGATTCTTCTACACCCTACTCTGTCCCAGGTTTTGTTGTTGTTGTTCTCAATTCTGGACTAATTCTATAAAGTACGTATTCTTTGTCATATACATCAAGTCTGTATTTGGTTAGCTAAGTCTGCTAAAGATTGAAAAGAGATTTCCTTAACTACTTTGAATGATTAAATTTCTCTCTCTTTGCCAAGTGACCGTTTGTGTGTGTGTGTGTGTGTGTGTGTGTGTGTGTGTGTGTGTGTGTGTGTGTTAGGGCATACCTTCAGTGCTCTGGCAGTTTACAAATCTGTCTTAACCTTCACTTCCTACTTCTACAGAGCCTCAAGGTCAGCCAGACATGATAGATTAGGCTCTTCTCAGGTCTTTCTTGGGCATGCACATAGCCCTGTACATGCACATGACCTTCTAGGTCCCCAGCAATGTTAATTGGAATTTTTCAAAGCTCCACCATGAACATCTCATTCCTCAATTTTTAGTTTATTGGCAACCCTCTTGTTTGCCTCAACTGATATGGCCACCTCAGGCAGCAAAGATGTTAAATAGTTGCCATCGTTTTTGAAAAATGACCTGGAGATTGGGTTTCTCACTGAGCTAGCGCTGAGTCAGGTCAAATAAAGAGAAACTCTGTGAATGGGACTTTCTGAAGACTTCCAAATTTGTTCTGCCCATTGTAGTGGTTGCAAGGCTGTTTTTTGTTTTTGTTTACTTGTTTGTTTGTTTCTCAAGAAAGAGCACTGGAATTAGGGCAGAGTCGGGGAAAGAGCACTGGAATTGGGGCAAGTTAAAAAAATCTTCCTGTTCTTACTAAGAGTCAGCCATTTTCTTGATTAATGTTCCTTGGGTTTTGAAATTTCCAGAGTTCTGAAAAAGCTGTTTTTGACCATTTTTCTAATGTTCTCTGTTTTTATGAAGGAGTAGATTTTTAGAGGTTCTTACTCAACCATTCTGGAAGTGCTTCTTAATGTTAGCGTCTTCAAAGTAAAACTTTTTTTTTGTTCTTTTCCCATTATGCCTAAACTAGTCTGGTCGTGTAATTTTGTCTTCTATGATTTTTTGTGTTACATATGTTTTATCATATAAATGATTAATTTAATTATACAGTTTTAATAGGATACCATTTAGAATTCATATAACTCAGAATGTATCAAAGATTTATGTAATCAGCTGTTTTCTGAACTTATGACAATTTAGGGAACTTTATTTAAAAACTTTTTTGCAGTGTCGATACTCTATTCTCTCAAAGATTTCCTTCCTATGAAGAACTAGGAACAGCTAAAGTGACTGTACAGAAGTCTGATGATGTTCTTTATGATCTTGGCCAAAAGAGAAAAGAAACAAATGGCATACTCCAGGTAAAGTGGAAAGAGGATATTAAAATTGATGACTAGTAAAGGTAAAAATTATGAATAAACAACAAAGTTATCAAGACAGAAAGCAAGAGGAACGATTAAGACAAAGCACTGAAAAAAGATATGTTAACCCAGTCTGATCTCTTTACAGACTTTTCCAGAAGCCCTCATGAAGTGATTTCAACTTCCTGCTTCTTGGCTAGGACTGAGCCACATCTCCCTCTAGCTTTCCAACTTCTGTCAGAGGCAAAAGAAGGGGGAGAAAAATCTGTGGGTGGCCCTTGTTTACCTAGTTCACAATGTCTGCCATGCCTACCTAGAGACAACTTTTTCTTATTTCATTTTAGCTTTCTTTACCAGATATAGCTTTTGTTGACCACTGGTCTACCTACCACCACTGTGTACTTCCCAGCCTCATTTCACTTACCATTCACATTAGTACTACTAAATGGAAAAAAATCTTAATTGCCAAGTATTCTGTTATAGATCTTAAATAAGTCCTTATAATGTATTGGCATGGTGTATGGCCCCAACTATAGTAATAGCTCTTGTCTGCAGTAAAATAATTAATATGAGTTTTACATGGTAACATTTTTGCCTTTTTTTTCCTTTTAAGCCAAAAGAATCTCTGATTATATCGACACTTGCTGATCTTCCACAGAATTACATTAAACTTCAAACAACCAGCACACGATCCATATTGAAAGATGCAGAGAAGATTTTGAGAGGAGTACAAAACAATAAAAAAGTACTTGAAGAAAACCTGGAAGCTATTATTCGTGCAAAGGATGGAGCTGCCATGTATTCGTTTATCAATGCTCTATCTACCAACAGGTAAGAAAGGATGCTGGTATCCCAGGGTTATTTATGAAACTGCCAGTTTTACAGGTTTTCTTTTTTTTCTAAGCACTTCATTTTGTTTAGTGTATTTTAATATTTAGAAAAGGTTATTGCCTTTATGATGTGACTTAATAAGAAGTTGAAGTTTGGATATATACATGTTGTTATTACTTTTACAGATGTGAATTTTACCTTTAATTATGTTTCTCTCTTTGGTACAAATCTTCTGAGATCTATGTGTGCTTTTCAGACATCCTTTAAACATTTGATGAAAACTAATGACATTTGTTTTTCCTTTTCAGATGAAGGATACAAGTAGATTCAAAACGAGATGAGAGATCTGATCCCAGTTCTGTTCTCAGGATGTTAAATGTTAATTTAAGAAAATTATTTCTTCTCTTTTGTAGAGAGATGTCAGAGAAGATTCGGATCAGAAAGACAGTGGATGAGTGGATTAAAACTATTTCTGCAGAAATTCAGGTAGCTTTGAAAAAAAAATAGAATTGAGTGAATTCTTAGGAAATAACGTATTTCCAATTTATAAGTATTATACTTATTCTCAAAATTTCTTATGTATAAGTCTACTCATAATTCTTTTTATTCATTCATTTATTCATTCATTCAGTACCCTATCACCCATCTGGCACTACACACAGCCATTACAGTAATATTGACTATATACCCTATGCTATACTCTAAATCCCTGTGACTGTTTCGTAACTACTAATTTGTAAGTAGTAGTTACAAAATTATAAGTCTACTTATAATTCTTAATTTCACTCTGTCATTATATTTATTTAGTGATGTTTCATTTTGCTTAATAAGTGCTTTGTCTCAGAAATTATATTGTGGCTTTTATCTGGCAAATTATTGGACAATAAGTAAAATAAGGGTATTTGAAAGAAAATTTAGCAAAAGCATTTAAAAAAGAGAGAAGTATACTTACAAAAATGTTTCAAGACAGCAGATTTAGAAGCATTGGCTTACTGAAGTAAAAACACCAAAATTATTTAAAGGGAAAATATCCCACAAGATTTCTAAGGTCACTGAGTTTACAGAAGTTAGTTCCAGATGGAAAAACTGATGCTTTCTCCCATTCACAGTGTATCTTCAGACATTAGCCTTGAAAAATTTAGGAGTGTTATTTTTATTAGGGGGTCAGTAATTTAAAGGAAATTATTAAAATTTTATGTATTTGAAGGAACAGAACTAGAAAAGATAAACGTGTTATTTTTATCCTGGGGTACAAAATGTTTTTTCCTGACTGTAAGATATGTGTTTATGTTTATCCACAATCAAAGCAAGATGAAGTGTCCATTCTGTTTTCACAGCAATAAACAATGAAATATATTTTTACATTTCGTTGTTTATGAATATATGTCTCTAATGTGGTTGTGAAGAATTTATTAGACACTATATGATGCACCAGAAACAAGTTGAACTAAGAGTAGAAAGACTTGGAGATCAGCTGTGGCTCTGCAGACAACTAGCACTATATGGCACTCTATTACTGTGGATTCCATACAAAATATGTTTGTTTAAACCTTCAAGCAACTTTAATTTATAAATACTTACTTTGGAGTTTTATTACAAAGTTGTTTACTCCTTTGGAAATATTTTTTAATTTAATTTTTTAATCGTTATTACAGCCCTATGATTCAAACATCAAAAAATGTATAAAAGTCTATAGTGAAAATTTGCCCTCCTACCTCTCTGTACCTCATCTATTATTTCTGATTTGCCCTGCTCCAGAATACACCAATCTTTTTAGTTTTTTGTTTATTCTTCCAGAGAATTTTTATTCATATGTAAGCCAATATCATTTATTTGTAAAGCATTTAAAACTGCTAAACTGTATTTCTATAACAAAGAAAATAAATTCTAATGCTTTTAATGTGGAACCATTACTACTTGGATAGTTCTTAAGTAATTTTAATTTTGGTTATGTTAAGGATGAACTGGCAAGAAAAGATTATGAACAAAAGAAATTTGATCAGAAGAATCAAAGAATCAAGAAAACTCATAGTATGAATAAAGATATTAAAAGCAATAAGCAAGACAAAACCATAAATAATTCTGTAATTCCAAGAAAACATTCTCAAAAACAAAAAGAAGAATATTTTAGAAATCCACCTGTGAGGAACATGCCTGCTTCAAGCTTACAGAAAGAGAGAAGAGAAGTAAGATCCTACTTTGGTTTTGTGGCATAAAAGTTTCATTATAACTAATTATTTCCTTTAAGATAAAAATAATGAAGTGACTATGAAAATGTTTGAAAAATAAGAAGGACTGTGCAAATGTAAACTATCTTTAAACTATTGATATTTAGGTTTATGTGAAATAATGTGAAAAGCACTGCACAAAATGCATAATTCTTTTCTTCTGAGATCTCACACTAAGACTCACAGTATTTTAGTTATAGCAGGTATGTATGGAGATCACCTAGTCAAAAATTAGTAGTTCGTGATACTCAAATTGCATTTCATCTTTGTGTGTGTATATGTATATATTTTGTTTTTTGTTTATTTTTCAGGTTTAACAAATGTATGTTTAGTGCCTAGTGATTGTGAGGCATGGTTATTAGATGCTGTGGAGGGAATATTGTGGCTGCTCTAAGCTCTAACTTCCTTAATGCCAAACACAGATTTCGGGACAGATTAATGAAGCATCTAATTCAATACTTAGCACTTAGTAGATACTCAATAAATGCTACGTTTCTGTGGCATTTAGATTATGATTGAAGGTGGGATCAGAAATATAGAAAATCATTTAAAGACTTACTTGATTTATGTTATTGTACTTTAATACATAAAATGTGTTTAAACTATACTTTTTAATGCCGAAACTATTCTTAGTAGTATAAGAACCTTTATATTTCTGGGGTGGATGATTTTTATATTTAATTTTCTTACTTTTGAAAACTATAAAACTTTAAAGTTATAGTTTGAAAACTATGTCCAGAATTTAAGAGCCATTTAAAATAGAGGACTTTTCTGACCTGATTGTTCTTATTATAGTACTTAAGCTGGCAAAAGGAGGCTTTTGAAGAATGAGATAAGTGTTTGATCACTATTTTGCTGGTGAGTTGAAAACCTTTTTGTATTTAGGGTTTTTTGAAAGCAAACACAGCGATACAAGATGAAGATTATATGTTACAAATTTATGGAAAACCAGTTTATCAGGGCCATCGCAGCACTCTTAAAAAAGGACCGTATCTCAGATTTAATTCTCCATCTCCTAAGTGCAAACCACAGAGACCAAAAGTAATAGAACGAGTTAAAGGTAAGGAACCTCATTTTTTTGTGGTATACCTCATTTTTTATAGCATCAGTTTAATATGTAAAGTTTAATTATTGCTTTTTTTTGTTACTTATAAATACAGTTCGATGCTTAGGGATGGAAAAACAATTCCTTCTAATAGAGTAGGAAAAAATAGACCCAATTAAAGGGACAAGATAGAAATAAATGGGAAAAAACAGACCAGATTCAAGACACAAGGTAGGGATAAGTGGGAAAAAATATAGGCTTAAATGGTATCTTCAAGAAAAGCATGATAAAATTTTCATTTATGAGACGTGAATCTCAACCACTTTAAATTATAATCTAGGGAAAGCAGTCATTTCCTTGAAGACCTTGGTCCATCATGTTTTTTATGAACAGGAAGACTAGCCATATGCTGTATATTATCATAACAGTGCTTATGGGTGCTTTTGCAGTTTTGTTTGTTTGTTCTTAAAGAACAGTAGGTAGAAAAAGTGAATTTTTTTTTTTTTGGTTATTTTGTTCACAACTAAAAATATCTTCACTTATCACTGTTTTGACTCACAGCTACCATATCACTAGTATATCTAAATATAACTCTTAGTTAAATATTGAGTCTGTTGGCCTTACATTTAAAAATTCCTCAACTTGTATTTTAGCAGTTAATAAGCCACTTTGACAATATACGGTGACTAGTGGATACCAACTCATTTTTCTTTCTTGTACTTTCTGGAAGTTGGAACAGTGGCAGTTGCTTTAGTTTTCATTTCTAAAAGTTATGTGATCATGTAAGGGTTTATTTAGAAATCGTACTATTGTCATTTTAGTAAAAAGCATATAACTTATGGATGATAGTTACCCAGATAGATGATATTTACCCTAAAGTTTCCTCTTGTTTATTGAAACTTTTCTATCGAATTATATTTGAGATTTTGAAAGTTTTTGAAAAAAATAACTCAAGGTTTTAAAACATTTTCATGTCCAAAAATAACTTTATTAAGTAACATTTTTAATGGTAGAAGTGATTGAGAACCTGTGGACACATGCGCATCCTTGGATCTTGGCGCCTGTTATTTCCTCTACTTAGAGACCTTATCCCTTAGACATTTGCATGGCTCACTTTCAGTTCTTTTGATTTGTGAAAAAATATATTTTAAGTAAACACTCAAGAAAATATGCAATCAAACGAATAAATACTAGACAATAGGATGAAAAAATACAGATGGTGATACTAAAATTTCTTTCCTGGGATCATGAAACTATATTTAAAAGTTTAGATTCATAAAACTGCTCACATATTAAAAATAAAAATGTAGCGATGTCAGGAATTTATTTACAAAATATTTTAGTTTCTTTTTCTTTGCACTTTAACTTTCCTTCATTTTTCTCAGATTCCATAGAAATTTATCTTCTTCAAAAAGACCAACTGATAATCAGAAAAGTTTCTAATTCTTTAAGAATTCAAGATTTAGTGTCTATATAAACAGGCAGATTTACTTTATAGCAATAGAAAAAAATGTTTAATGATATTAATTTTTGTAAGAGTTTAATAGGTATAGAATTTGATTACTGTACATATTTTCAAAGGATAAAGATTGATAATTCAGAATTATTCTCACAATGCAATATATATATGCCTTACTGCTAAATTGTACACCTGAATATACGGCCATGCCACCTTGAACAAG